GTAAAAGGGGCGTGCGTGTGCACAGGGGGCTCGCCGAGCCGCGGGGAGCCGCCTCCGTGGAGCCGTGCAGCCCGGGGGCTGCTGTCGTGCTGTGCTCCGCAGCGTTGGCCCTTGGCTTAGGAAGGGTTGTCCAGCAGCTTTCCTTTCAGAAGAAAGCTTTCTTACCGGAAACGTGTCTGCCTTTCTCAAATCAAGGTCTTCCTCTTCTCTGGGAGGTGACACGGGCTCCACGCCACAGCCTCCTTGCCAGCTGAGCTCAGCCTCTTCCCTCGGGCGTTGCGGGAGAGTTCAGCATGACGATGTGCTGAGAACAGCTGATTTCTTTTAAGCCTGTCCTTGATTTCAAGAGTCTGCCCTTTCTAGTGGGCTTTGGGGCGTAGTCTGGCCAAGCTCACGACCACTCGGTCTTTCCATCGCACCCATCCCGCCCTCTTCCCTGGTCTTGACTCTTCAGCTTTTGGTTTGTGGATGCTCACCCCTGACGTGGAAGGACACCAACCTCACTCAGAGGTGCCCGGGAGCTGTGGGGCCCCCTGGAGTTCACCCCTGTGTGCTCCTGGGCGCGGTGGCAGAGCAGCTCTCCCAAGTGCTGGGGCTGGCGAGGCCACTGAGCAGCTTCTCCTGCAGGTGGACTGCACGGCCAACTCCAACACCTGCAACAAGTACGGCGTGAGCGGCTACCCCACCCTGAAGATCTTCCGGGACGGGGAGGAGGCAGGCACCTACGACGGGCCCAGGACAGCAGGTGGGGCCCCCGGCCGGTGCCTGGCTGCCGAAGCCGTGCTGGGAGCAGAGCCCTGTGTCATGGGCTTGTTCTGGTGCTGTTACGTGTGGCGAGGCGTAGGGAGAGCACTCCCACCTACACGTGCTGCCCTTGCCCTTTGCAGAGCTCTTTGTGCTGGCAGAGCCCTTGGGTGCTGATTATACTTTAAAAGTATTTTAGAGGTGAAGGTTTCTGTGTTATCTTTAACTCTTAGTACCTTGATGGGCAGTATCTTGAAAGTGCTGGAGAATGAAGCTGGTGACAGGACTCCTTCAAGTCATATCCCCTTTCTTGTATGGGAGAGGTGTATGGATCCTGCAGAAAGAGCTTCTGCTTTGGGAAGGTTGATGAATGTCTGGTAGAATTTTTCTGTTAATCCCTTTAACCATTTAACTTTTCTTTTAAGATGGAATTGTCAGTCATCTCAAGAAACAGGCAGGACCTGCTTCAGTGGCTCTCAATTCTGTGGCTGAGTTTGAGAAATTCATTGGTGATAAAGATGCTTCTGTAGTGGGTGAGTAGACTTGGTGCAGGATTTGAAGAGCAGACCCTTGGCTCTGGGAGGTGTCTGGGGGAATGTGCTGTGAGAGGGTAAGAGGCAGCAGCACAAGTTGTAGTGGGAGAAATTCTAGCTGAACCCAAGCAAAAAAAAAAAAAAAGTATGATAAAGCACTGGGACATGTGCCCAGAGGGATTTCAAAACAGTCAGATTTCCAAAACTCAACTGGATGAAGCTCTGAATGACCTGACCTGACCTTGAAGTGGGTCCTGCTTTGAGGAGGAGGTTGGATTCAGTGGCATTTTCTCTTTCTTTTTGATTCCACCCTGTGATTTGTTGATCATTGACCAGAGCTCTGGGGCCCATGCCTGGCCTCAGGCTCTTGAGGACAACTGCCTCTTGGCTGCATGACTGAGCTGGGCAGACTCTTGAGTGACTTCTGCTGATGGCAGGGAGGAGGTTTAGAAGGGCTCCAATAAAACAGGAGAGAGGCTGTCGGAGATGAAGACCTGAGTGTGCACTGGAGGACCTGGTCTCTCAGTGCCTTGTAGAGAGAACCAGAGGGCTTGGCAGCTGCTGCCACAGGGTCGGTGTGGGGTCACTATCTGTCTTTCTGCTGCAGGCTTCTTTGGAGATGTGTCTGGTGAGGCTTACTCAGAGTTCCTGAAGGCTGCCCAGCAGCCTCAGGGATAACTACCGCTTCGCACACACCAGCCACCAGCAGCTGCTGCAGGAGCACGACCAGGATGGAGAGTAAGTCATTTAACACAGGGGTACCTTGTTCTTGAGACAGATCTGGAACAAATGAATGGATTCCAGTTGGATTCACTTTCTGAACATAGCTTAACGTCTCCTTTCTGCCCCAGCTCCCAGTGGTGCATCTCTTACCTCTTTGGAGTTGAGATAGAAAGGCACGAGTGGTGGCAGGCTCTGGAGGGTTAGTGTCTGCCTCTGGGTGGGGAGTATCTCAGCAGAGGCTTTTCCTTCCCCGTTGCTTGTTGTGGGTTTTCATTTCTCATTGTGGGCTGCCTGAAAACAGAGAAGGGTCTGGCAGGTAGATGTAGTGCCAGAGTACCACCAAGAAACTGGAGAGTGGTGCTGAAGCCATGAGCAGTGAATTTGTGCAGCCTCTGGAGGGGACTGGCTGCCGTCCTTGGACACCCAGGGGTACTTTAAACTGACCCAAAGTCCCTGCTTCCCCTCAGGGGTATCGTCTTATTCCGTCCTCCACGCCTGACAAACAAGTTTGAGGACAGCTCCATCAAGTACACAGAAGACAAAATCACCAGTGGAAAGATCAAGAAATTCATCCAGGAGAACATGTGAGTGATTCCTTACCAGAGAATGTGATGGACTGGCCCCGGTTGGACTTGGCCCCATCAGAACTGGTTTGCTCTAGCTGGCACTGCTGCTGGGTAGTGTCCAGCAGAGCTGTCCTCCCCATGCTGTGTCCTGTGGGGAACACCACCTTCCTGGGAATCCTGGCATGGCTTCCAGGGTTTACTCTCCATGTTCTGACAACCACACTTTTGTTCAAGAACTGTCAAACTCCTGAGAAATGCACCAGTTTGGGCCTTATCTAGGCCACTGACGATGCAGCTAGAGGTGGAGATTTGACTTAGAATAACGTGGTGCATGAGTGGGCAAAGTATTTCTTCTTCATGTCTCACTGATTCCTGGTGTGTAAGAGCCTTGGGTGGGAAACAGGAGTGTCCCCCGTGGAACCCGCTCCTGGGAGGTGGCAGGTGGTGAAACTGCAGCTGCTGACATCTGTCTCGTTCACAGCTTTGGCATCTGCCCACACATGACTGAAGACAACAAAGACCTGATCCAGGGGAAGGACTTGCTGGTGGCCTACTACGACGTGGACTACGAGAAGAACGCAAAAGGGTCCAACTACTGGCGCAACAGGTAGGGGAGGGGCCTGCCCAGCTTCTGCCCCACAGCCCCCGTCCCTCACATCGGGGGTCTTCTCAGCAAGCTTCCAGCTGAGTTTCTAACTAACTCTCAGGGTGGCTGCTGCCTGCAGAGCCAAAACCTGCAGCATGCATCCTTTGAGATCTCACTTGCTTCTGGTCCCCTAGTCCTTAGACCTTAAACACAAGTTCCGTGCTGGTGCCGCGTGGGATTGCCAGCACCTGAGATCCTGGTGGCCCTGCTGGCGGGTGGAGGAGGCAGGCACACCACACTGCAGACACCAGCTTGCTGCTTCACCCCTCTGCTGTAGGCCTGGCCACTGCAGGACACACCATGCCGCTGGATTCCCCCAGCGTGCGCTTCTGCTTGAAGGCTGTGAACGTCACGTGGAAGAAAACATTCCAAGGAATAATTCTTTGTGTTTTGTTTTTCTTTTTTGTTCTTTCCCCCCTCAGAGTTATGATGATTGCAAAGAAGTTCCTAGATGCTGGCCACAAGCTGTCCTTTGCTGTCGCTAGTCGGAAGACCTTTGGCCATGAGCTTTCGGAGTTTGGTCTGGACAGCAGCGTGGGCGAGGCTCCCGTTGTTGCAATCAGAACTGCTAAAGGAGACAAATATGTCATGCAGGAAGAATTCTCGTAAGTTTTTGAGTTTGGCAGAGTTGACTCTCACTTGAGGGACTCTGGTCTGGATGTCTGTGACCCCAGGTGGTACTTCCCTAGTTGTGGAGAAACAGGAAAGGTGGAAGTTCCAGCTGGAAGAAGTGATTGCTGGGTCAGCGTGGCTCCTTTTCAGGGGTTTCCCTGCCCTTAGGGAGCTTTCAGCCCCTCCTGTTGCACAGACAATTTAGAAAGTTTTAACTCGAGACATTTAAACGTCTGGTTAAGAGCCACAGTGCATTAAAGGTCAGAGGAAATGGTTTTACCTTTCTTGAGAAAATAAACTTTAGGGTGCTGGAAGGCCTAAAACTTCAGATGGGCTGTGCATCCAGCCTCCTGTCCAATGTCTAAAGGGCATTGCGCCCTTGTGCTGGGGTCCTCTAAGCCAGCCCCAGGCTGCTGCTCTCAGATGCAGGTGGCATCTGTTCTGTGGGTGGAAGGAGCTTCAATCAGCCTTGAAATTTTTCCTCTCTCATCCTGTTTGTGTGATAATGGCTGTAAAATGTCTCTTCGCTTTCAGACGTGACGGAAAGGCTCTGGAGAGATTCCTGCAAGATTATTTTGATGGCAACTTGAAGAAGTATCTGAAATCGGAGCCTGTCCCTGAAAGCAACGATGGCCCTGTGAAGGTGAGTGCAGTGCTGTGCAGCAGCAGCCCCCACACTCACACCCGTGTCCCGCAGTGCCAGTGCCGTGTGGTGGCATCGTGAGGAGCTTCTGGCAGAGATGGAGGAAGAATCCACTCCCCTGTCACATGGCAGCTTTCTGAGCTGGGGGAGAAGTGCAGCCTAATGGTTTGATTCCATTTTGTTCTCCTGGGATAGTAGCTACTGTCTGAGCATGCTAGTGACGTGCTCTGCCAGTATGGGGTTGTCCCAGAGTATAGGGGTTGTGTGAACCTCCTCTCTTGGCTCGTGGGCTTCATGGTGGTCATCACTGCACTTGTTCTAAGCGTTACGTGTTCATCTGGAGGTTGTGGGGGTGGAGGTAACATAGCTGGAACCTTTCACCCCTCCCAGTAGAGGCCAGGGCAGAGTGTGAGAAAAAAATAACCTGTACGGTCCAATGTTACCAGGTGGTGGTTGCTGAGAACTTTGATGAAATTGTTAATGCAGAAGACAAAGATGTCCTGATAGAGTTTTACGCACCCTGGTGTGGCCACTGCAAGAATCTGGAGCCCAAATACAAAGAACTGGGGGAGAAGGTAGGTCTGGGACCCTGTTGCAAATACAAACTCGAATTTTTCAGCACTAAGCAATCCTGCAGGTTCTGTCTGTCCAGCCTTTATGATAATGGGGCATAACTGTGCCTTCTGCCTTCTGAGCTCTATGGGGTTTGGCATCTCCTGCGAGTACACGTTAACAGGATCTGGAGCATGGCAGCAGCCGTGCTGGTGGGTTTAGGCTGCACCCTTGGCTGTGGCACGTAAATGTTCTCTGATTCGATGGCCGGCTTCAACTGCCACGGTTCCTTTTTGGTTCTTTTCCCTCTGCATGGTGGTTGTGCCCCATCTGGTGCAGGGCAGCGCAGGGAGCAGGTGAGTGTCCTCCCAGAGCTGTGGCTCTGTGGCTGCCGGGCACCCTCCTTGCGGGCATTCGCTCTGAGGTGGGAGGTGGCTCTGGGGCCAGTGTTCTCCAGGAGTCAGTTCTGCAGGTGCCACTGGGCGATGCGTGGTGCAGGCGGCCAAGGAGGGGCTGTGCTCCATCTGCCCCAGGCCAGGCAGCAGCAGACTGCTCAGAAGACATTTGCTCACCATTTAGCCTACTGTGTGCACTGTCCTCTGACGTCGCTGCCTCAGGTGGTGTTTGTCAGTGAGTTCCTGGTGTTAACTGCTGTGGGTTGGTTACTAATGAGCTTTTTCTGCCAACAGCTCAGTAAAGATCCCAATATTGTCATTGCCAAAATGGATGCTACAGCCAATGATGTGCCTTCTCCATATGAAGTCAGAGGGTAGGTCTTACTGTTGTTACTGCACCGTGTCTGTGGGTGAGTTCAGGCTTCTGTCTGACCAGCAACCACAACAGAAAGGGTCTCATAGGGAGGATGGTTGGGGGTGATTGGTGGTTGCTGGGGATTTGCTTAGTGTGAAGAAATCAAGTGTAAGAACAGAGGACATTCTTATGCCTCGCTTCTTGGGGATTCTGATGTACTGGCTACGTCTGAAGGGCTATCTTGCTGGTTTTGGATCTGCTGTGATCTGTTCTTGGCAGCGTGAGCCCATGCTGGGCTCGCTTTTCTGAGAACAGTGTAGCAGAGCCCCCGTGCAGACCATGCCTGCTGGCTGATGAGCTGCCAAAGGCACAATCATGTTGAGTTGAGCAGGGGGACGCTGGGTGTGAGTACCCTCGGTGAGAGCTCAGACATCTCTTCTCTCTTCCCCAGCTTCCCCACCATCTATTTTGCGCCAGCTGGCAAGAAACAGAGTCCAAAGAAGTATGAGGTGAGTGTTTTGCTGCTTTGTAAAGAAGTGAAGTAGCACCTGGGTGTCCATGCCAAGCCTCTCTGGAGTCGCAGGGGATGCTGTCCCGTTGCCCTGGAGCTCAGCTGGGGGTACCTGTGGGACTGTTCGGCCACGTGCTGCAGACCCATGGGGAGAACTCCCCTTAAAGCTGCTCTGGGTGAGGGGGGGGCCTCGGGGTGTACAGGCACTGCCTCACTCTTGTGCGTCCTGCAGGGTGGCAGAGAAGTGAGCGATTTCATCAGCTACTTGAAGCGGGAGGCCACCAACACTCCTGTGCTGCAGGAGGAAGATAAAACCAAGAAATCCAAGAAGAAGGTGAAGGAGGATTTGTAAAGTGTCATCTTGTCAGGATGAGCTCTGCGTGAATTGGGGAAGCACTGGGCATACTGGGGCCCGTTCTGGGTTGTGGAGAGCCAGTGGCCACGTGGGCTGTGGGGACCCAGCTGCTGTATCTAGCTCTGTTTAATTTCCTGCCGTCTCTTAGCTGCACTGTTGTGGGGCTCCCCAGGCTGGTTTGTTTTGTGGTTTGGGAGGGGGGGGGATAGGGTTATTTTCTAATTTTTTTTGTACATTTGGAGAAGTGAAACAATAAAATGACCCCAATAAGACCAAGTGTCCCTGTCCTGCGGAGACCTGTCAGGCTGAACACCAAGATCCTGCGCTTTCTAGGCAGCGGCTTCCTGCGGAGTCTCCTGCCTTGGGTGGGCCTTTAGAACTCTGTTTCTAAACGCTGACCATTCAGCCTGTTCTTCCTCCTTGGCTAACAGCAGTCCTTCTAGGGCACAGCAGCCACAGCTGTCCCAAAGTGCTGAGCCTCAGGCTTTACCTGTACGCAGGTGTTTGGGCGTAAGGACTGCCCAGTGCTCGCGCTGCCTTGGCGAGCCCTGAGGCTCGTGGCACTGGCTG